CTACTCTAAACAGATAAATAAGCTAATAGTAGCCATAGTTCTGTGAACATAGTTTTGAGAATCTCCTGAATCTCCAACTCTATATACATGTAGCCATGGCGCTCTCTGGAACCAGAAATTAGAAAGATGTACAGACATTTTTAATAGTTGCAGTATGTTCTAAGCATCTTGTCCAAGGGATCCACATCCGACAAGTGATGCAGATCGCTGAAAACCATATTTCTTTTGTTTTATCCATGAACAAGGTAGCATAATCACCATATTGCTGTATTCAAATTGCTAAATTCATTGTGAGTTCACAAGGTGTTCAATGTCTAAATGTGATATGAAAATATAAGCAATATGGCAATTTATCAAAAAGAAAAATTGTTCTTCATTTTATCAAGAAAGACAAATTTGTGGACAGAATGTGGTGATCAGATTGTTTAACTTGGTTTAAGAGTGCTTTAGATTTATAAATCAGTTCCTGTGCATCAAAGTCTTACCTACTACTTGAGCTGCCAGAGGCACACAAAAGCTCTTTAAAATGGCTAATAATGAATTAAGTAATACATTTAAAATTCAAGGAGGCACTCTATGAAGTTTATATTCTAATTACATTTTAGATAAAATATTATTACATCTCAATAATTCTTGAAGGGATGAACAAAGATATAAAAAAAAACTATATACATTTAGTCTGAACTCCAATATATATGTATAGAGAGAGAGAGAAAAAATGTTGAGCTAACGTCATAAGCTTGCTGTACATCCCATGATTTTAAAAAGAATTATGTTGTTGTTGTTTTTGTTTTTTTTCTTTAAAAAACCTTAGTAGTGAAGACAAGGTAAACACGTTTGGCCCAAAACAGTTTTATTGCATTGTGATACAAAATTAAAATGTTATCTCTTAGGCACATATTTTTTTTACTTAAGGCATGTGTTTTGTACAGTACTGGGTATCTGTGTTTTTCTGACTCTGCCCACAAAAGTAATATTGTGGATTTTCTCAGGTTTATTTACAAGGAACAGTAAGACATCTATTTCTGACATTGTTAGATTAATAACTTGTGGGCTATTGTTTTTATAATAGAACTGTAGTTCTGTGCGCATTAACTTGTTTTTACAGAGGGAAGGGAACACTCTCAAAAGTTCAGCTACTCTGTGTATTTTCCTTTTAACACTCAGTTCAGGGTTATTCGTTAACCCAGGAATTTTTAGGAATGCACCAGGGAATGTCACATTTGAAGACAAAACAGCCTACTTGGAAAAACATCTGAATTGGAGAGTGTTTCTCCTTTAGATATGTTTGCCCCAAATTGGATAGTCAATGCCCAACTAAATTTTGGGCAAAATTTGCAGCGACTCACTGTGACAGGGTAAGTTCAGCAAAGATACTAGATTTGCAATTTGGATATTTATTAAACTCAATGCACAGGTTGGTTTGGGAGATTACTCTGAATCTCCCAAGGAGATGGATTTCTCAATGGTCCCTCCATTCTACAACTGGTTATGCCATGAATAAGGGGTAGTTTGCATGCTGGTCTGCCGATTCCAATCTAATTTTTCTAATTCTCAATAGTTGTGGGGTTTTTTTTTCTGTTAATATTTCAACAAAATGTCCAAATGCCTGTTTTCAACATTTGTATGGGACAACTTAAAGGGACACTATAGTCACTAGAACAACGACAGCTTAATGTAGTTGTTCTGGTGAATATAGCCAGTCCCTGCAGGCTTTTTGCTGTAAACACTGTCTTTACAGAGCTGGAGATAAAAGCTTCTAAAGTAAGTAAACATCTGATTGAGAGAAAAAAAATCATGCAGGCTGTGTGAGATACAGTCAGGGGAGTTGTGGCTATGGCTGCATAAACAGAAACAAAAGTGATTTAACTCCTAAATGGCAAATAATTGAGCAGTGAGACTTCAGAGAAATGATCTATACACTAAAACTGCTTCATTAAGCTACAGTTGTTGTGGTGACTATAGTGTCCCTTTAAGATACATATGGCAGACGGTGGGTTTATATCCCTCAAACTGGAAGACCCAAAATTCTTCACCTATCACAAAACACTGCATCTAAATATACCTGGTGTTGTAACAATGAAGGCTGTCGTATATCATCCTTTATCATTTGGGGGAAAAAAGCCTTAAGAACTAATTATTTACTCCTCTTGTATGTAAAATCTCAAGAACACAGTGTACTTTCCCCAAGCCTGATTAAAGGATGAGAGATTAGGACTCTGAGATTTATTCACTAAACCCAGAAATTGAAAAAATCTAGAAGGCTATTAGAAATTTGTTAACACAAAGTAGGCTAGCTGTAGAAATAGCTAAATTAAAGAATATTTCGAGTTCATCTATTTTCCCTTAAATGTGCAATTCTCTTATCGTATCTTCACAATTTCTGGTTTAGTACATGAATCTAATGTATCTAAATGTGTGAATACCTGAATGACTGAATTTAAAGGACACAATTTTTTTTTTTAGTCTGGTGGTCTTGCGAAATCCTACAAGAAGAGATCATTAGCGGGCTCGGCCATTTCTTCCCCCTTCCCGATCATAAAATTGCCAAACAAAGCAGAAAATCTCTCCTTTTGTCATAGAAAAGTACCTCCAGCTCCTAATTGTTAGGTTAGTGGGAATGCCATTCTCCACAGAGCACCTGTATTATAGCATTCCATGGATGCCCCAAAAGTTGTTTTTTTGTAATAATGAGCAAAAAGAAAAAATGTTCTGCAATCCAAACAATAGCTGTGCCCTGTGAAGTTCTTCTGGTTAAAATAGTGTAAGAAGTTAATAACCTTTATACATAGCTCATATACTAATGGAAAGCAGGAAAGCACTGGTCAATGATAATCTCTTTAACGTGTGGTTTAAGATTTATAGCCTGATCTTTGCTTTACAACCCATATTTCGTACTTTATAACCACAGATTTGTATTAACATTTCTCTGGCAATGCAAACACCAGCTGCCTGAGATACATATCATATTATATTTCTTCATGAAAATACATTGCTGACCTTAATAATGCATGCTAAAACTTCAACATCTTTCAATAAATCTGACACTGCACTTTCCTCTACAGTACAACTTTATTGGTTTAAGTTGGTCTTGCCAGATTTAATAGTAAAAGTTCATCTTTCAGAAATGCTAGATATTGTGTTTTTTGATGGAGGTACAGGCTGTTTTTAAAGGGTTACTCCAAACACCTAGATGACTGCAGTGATTTAACCCCTTAAGGACCAAACTTCTGGAATAAAAGGGAATCATGACATGTCACACATGCCATGTGTCCTTAAGGTAAAGTTGTTATGGTGGTAGGAGTCTGTATGTGTCTCATTTCAATTTGAAACATTGCACATACAAAGATATTGGCACTCATGGGCTGAGTGGTAGTCACACTCTGTTCCGGGGTGCCTTATTTCAGTTCTGTGCATATATTACGACTGTAGTCAGCACGCTGGTGATAGACATGAGTGCACCCAGAGGTCTCCTGGCACAATAAAGGGAGTGTCCCTTTAAACTTTAAACATATCATAGCTACTGTCCTGTTACTGATGTGATAGTATGATAGTACAATGTACTATATTTCAGCTCTTGAAAGTTGGCAAATAAATATTGGTATTCAGTCACACCATATGCCCTACCGATGCTTTAAGGTACTTCACTATTGTTGTAACCTACAATGGAGATACACATATATATGTTGCATTTGTGCTATTACCTTGATGTGTATTTTACAATCACTTTCCTAAACCATGTACAGTTTATTTATAGAAACATAGAATGTGACAGCAGATAAGAACCATTCAGCCCATCTAGTCTGCCCATTTTTTTTTTAAATACTTTCATTAGTCCCTGGCCTTCTCTTATAGTTAGGATAGCCTTATGCCTATCCCACACATGCTTAAACTCCTTCACTGTGTTAACCTCTACCACTTCAGGTTGAAGGCTATCCCATGCATCCACTACCCTCTCAGTAAAGTAATACTTCCTGATATTATTTTTAAACCTTTGCCCCTGTAATTTAAGACTATGTCCTCTCGTTGTGGTAGTTTTCCTTCTTTTAAATATGGTCTCCTCCTTTACTGTGCTGATTCCCTTTATATATTTAAATGTTTCTATCATATCCCCCCTGTCTCGTCTTTCCTCCAAGCTAAAATACACAATTTAAAATAACCATTACGCATAAAGGCTTTCTCACATGGCAAAAATTTGACAAAGCTTTTATTGGTGAAACACGTAATGGTTATTTTAAATTGTGTATATTAGATCAATTAAAGGTTGTTGGTTACTTTATTGTGCCAATTCTCTTTGTATTGTATTTTTATGCACTTCTACTATTTTTCTTTTCCTGGCTTTTTTACTATTGTTCCTGCACGTGAAGAAATCCCAGGTGGGGATCATACCATCAACGCCTTATTAATAGAACAGTATTTTCTGCTCTACACCTGTGAGTATTATTTTAGTTAATTTTACTTACTTTTATCCAATTTAGAGCACTATTGTCGCCTTTTTTTATTTCCCTTGGAGCTTTGGATGACCAGACGGCGCTGATAGACGCATTTCCTTTACACATCCCAGCAGCGGGGATTATACCGCTGTACGCCCTTCACACCAGAGCTGGCCATAGCTCCTTTGAATGTGAGTTTTCTACCTTCTACTACTATTTTACCCTTTGGATTTTAGATGTATTGCACTACTGGCTGCCCCTGTTTCTTTGTTTTTCATAAATGCGAAAATCCTGAGACATTAGGACGCACCCATTCCTACTGAAAGGTCTACTCATCTATATCAAGCACTTTTGCTCTAGTTAAACTCTTTTGGACTATTTACGTTATTTCTTTTTTCTTCTGGTGCAGCCCTACCCCATCTCTTTGCGTTGTCTCATCTATTAAAGGATTTGAGGGGTCTCCTTCATTTGAGTTGCTGCCTATCTACATATTGTTTGTTAATAAGCGCTGATTTCCTTTAGTTTTTGTGATTCTGCTAGCATTTCCTGCTGCTCTATTACATTGTCTGCCTACCTTTAAGTCATCAGAAATAATCACCCCTAAATCCCTTTCCTCAGATGTTGAGGTTAGGACTCTATCAAATATTCTGTACTCTGCCCTTGGGTTTTTACATCAAAGTTGCATTATCTTGCACTTATCCACATTAAATGTCAGTTGCCACAACTTTGACCATTTTTCTTTCTTACCTAGATCATTTGCCATTTGGCTTATCCCTCCTGGAACATCAACCCTGTTACATATTTTAGTATCATCAGCAAAAAGACATACCTTACAATGAAGACCTTCTGAAATATCACTAATAAAAATATTTTCTCTTACATTATTAGTTTCTACCAGGCCACTCTGGATTAGTCCTGCCAGAGCTGACCTGACATCTAGTTCTTACGCTGTTCATTTGTCATCCAAATTAGGTCTTGTGGCTATTTCAGTCAAATATTTTAAATGGACACTTAAACACATCTCTACCCCAGGCTCAACAAAAGTAACCGATCTTGTTTTCTAGATCGTGATCTCAAACTGTATTTCCCACCATGGTCTAGTTACTAATGAAACCTGAGATTAGAGCTACAAGACTTTAGCTACCGGCAGTTACATGTGGTAATTGTGAATTGCTCCTGGACACAGGTTTTGCACATTGTCACAGCACTCGAGTTCGGAGTTCTACATTTTTTATTCTTAGAAACCAAAACTGTATTACAAAATGACATTCGTACCAGCTAGCACAGTACCTTGAGGCATGAAATGCAGTTATAAGTATCAACAGTGAAGGAAACGTGTGCTGTGATTTACCTGTAAATCTACTTAACCCCTTAAGGACCAAACTTCTGGAATAAAAGGCAATCCATGTCACACATGTCATGTGTCCTTAAGGGGTTAAAAGACTGTTTAATTAAAGGAACACTATAGGGTCAGGAACACAAACATATATTCCTGACCCTGTAGTGTTAAAACCACCATATAGGTGGCTTGTCCCCCTCCACCCCCCCCCCCCCCCTTAAAAATAATTAGAACTCACTTTAATTCCAGCGCCACACGGGTTTGCCAGCACTGACCCCGCCCCCATCTGCCTTCTTGATGACATAATCAGAATTGCCTATTTTTAGCCAATTCAATGATTTCCCATAGGGAAAGCATTGGATTGGCTAAAATCAGAAAGGAGGCAGGATCGGGGCGGGGCCAAGCCCTGTTTTGGCCAATCAGCACTTCTTTATAGAGATGCATTGAATCAATACATCTCTATGAGGAAAATTCAGCATCCCATGCAGAGCGTGGAGACGCTGAACGGCAGTGCTGCCTACTGTGCAGTACTGCCCTTGGAAGCACCTCCAGTGGCCATCTAAGTATCCCTAGGGGCCCTGTTAACACTGCCTTTTCTCAGTGTTTGCATGAAAATGCCTGAAAGCAATGATTATACTCACCAGAACAACTACATTAAGCTGCATTTGTTGTGGTGACTATAGTGTCCCTTTAAAATAGGGCTTACAGGTAGACAGACAGATAGATAAATAGATAGACAGAAGAATGAATAAACAAGCAGATAGATAGACAAGTTCATTTTCAATTACTAATGTAAATGCTAGCAGCAAAACCTTTCTTTTTTGAAAACCTATTTAAGCAAGAAATGAAAAAACAAGCTATAACAAGTTTATTACATGCTACAAAAAATACTGAATGCAAAACGTCAAACTTTCTCCATCTATTAAATAATCAATGATCCTATGTTTATCTTCTCAATCTCACAGGAACACCCCTGCAGAGGCAGTGTTAATCTTTTGTATGGGATTTTTATAAGCTTGGATAAACTATTATGAGAACAGACAAAAACCTAGTACAGGCATCATAATAATATTCAAAGTGGCATAGAAGAGAAATGGTGATTTTGTTTTTTAGTCAATGGGTATGCAAGGAAAATGTCACTCTTAATCACATGTGAAAAATGGATAGATGTGAATTAAACTCTCCATACTAAATGAGTACAAAACAAAATGATGCCACATTCACAAAAAAAAATCAATTTCTTGAAACATAGTTCCACCATTCTCAGCCAATGAGCTGACCTTGCACAGTAAGGTTTAGCTCAAGATTCCACGCAGGAGTTTCTGTCTCTCCGTTAAGGAACTGGTCAGTGCCTGTGAGACCCCAGGTTAGTTGTAAGTTTGGATAATTACATTGGGGGGCACCAGAGCACTCCTGATACCATAACTGCTATAGTGTGCTGTAGTGGTTATGGTACATGGAGTACTCATTTAAAGGAACACTATAGTGCCAGGAAAACCCCCCTCCCTCAGATCCCCCCTCCTGCTGGGCTGAAGGGGTTGAAACCTCTTCAGCCACTTACCTTAATCCAGCACGGGGCTCCCTCGGCGCTGGTGACCTTTCCTCCCTCTGTGAACGGCAGTTCTGAATGCCCCTGCATGGCCAGAGCTGCGCGAGCATTCAAACCGCCCATAGGAAAGCATTACTCAATGCTTTCCTTTGGACGTCCAAAGTGAGTTCAATGCGATTTTCGCAGTTTCTCTGAAACTGCTATGTTTTCAGCTGCAGGGTTAAAACTAGGGGGACCTGGCACCCAGACCACTTCATTGAGCTGAAGTGGTCTGGGTGCCCATAGTGGTCCTTTTAAAGGATCATTATAATGCAGCAAATGCATGAACTTTTGTGAGTATCTTATAATAGTCTTACTTTAATGAGCAGAACCCAAGGAGACAAGCGGCCAAAGACAAAGGGGCCTACTCACTGTGAAAAGCTCTGGAGTACATCAGTGCATCATGATCCTCTCTCTCATAGGCCAAGGGCCACAAGGGGCGGGAAAGCCCTGCATTGGCCACTAGGGCGGAGGACTGTCACACCGATCCTCCAACCACCTTCTACAAGGGATAGTCTTGGACTGTACCGGAAACCAAGCCTGTGGCCTGGGGCTGGAGAGGCACCCGATCCTGGCAGCAAGTCCTCCCAGGAAACACTACCATTCTGCTACCCATGGGAATCGGCTGAGCCTGCCAGTTCACTAATGGACATCCCCATCTGTTTAGCAGCACCCACTCTAACACATAAATAATATACAGCACCACCTCACACCTACTTATGTCGCTTTAATTAACTTGTTAAACACCTGGCTGCATCAGAACGCATGGGTATAGTGTCATAGTATTATAATGTCTGCCTGAGGTTTCCCTTCCTGAAACCAGCTTGATCTTTAATGATTCTTTCCATGTCTGCCTAACATGTTTGTTCATGCTTTACATTCTCAAAAAAAATAAAAAATGTGCAGATCCTCTTGTCATTGTGTTAGAACCCTAAGCCTGTAATCAAACATTTTGCAATGCAAAAAAATAAGAAAAGAAAAAAGAAAAAATAGACTTAACATATAACACTAAAATTGAAATACCATCAATATTACCATGGTATATGGCAATAAACATTTTCATTATAGCATAATGTTGTATAGTAGTATCTTTTTGCATAAATGCTCATTACATTCGCCAGCAAAAACATTTTGCAGCTTCCAGGTTTCAAAAATTGAGGTGCGCATTAGATTTGAGTAAATACAATAGTTTACATTTTTAGCAGTATTATTTTCTTATTAATTTACGCACAGAGAAAAAGGCATTCAATTTGAATGACAGCAGAACATGATACAGCACAAACATGGTAGCATATTACTTATATAAAACAGTAATAAAAAAAAAATGAAATTCAGATGAACTTGAGCCTGGAGTGTCCCTTTAATAGTAACTTAGAACCTAGCAAAAACAAAAAACCATGTCTGACATAATTTAGATACAATTACAATGAAATATACTGCCACGGATGCTAGTTTTATTACGGCACACTGCCTGAGTCAAGTTAACAGCAGCTATCATATGGTTCATTCTATCTAGGGAAACTGACTTTTGCTTACCTGCACACATTGTACTGTTATAGGTATTTTACAGCCCATATAAATCACCTCTCCCTTCATGTAAGCGTCCACATATCTGAACTCCGGAGCAGTAACCTTTTTGCCTACAAGGTTGCACTTGGCATTACTATGGTTTAAAACAATGCTTTATCAGTGAGTACATTTAATAATATTGCAGCTCTGACAGTGAATGAACGCAGCGTTTCGGAATCATTAACACATTTCATTTGGGTCTTTTAGAAACATAGAATGTGATGGCAGATAAGAACCTTATACCTGTTCCACGCATGCTTAAACTCCTTTACTGTGTTAACCTCTACCACTTCAGCTGGAAGGCTATTCCATACATCCACTACCCTCTCAGTAAAGTAATACTTCCGGATATTATTTTTAAACCTTTGTCCCTCTAATTTAAGACTATGTCCTCTTGTTGTGGTAGTTTTTCGTCTTTTAAATATGGTCTCTTCCTTTATTTTGTTGATTCCCTTTATTATTATTATGTTTATTATTTTATTATTTATATAGCGCCAACAAATTCCGTAGCGCTGTACAATGGGTGTATTTAAATGTTTCTATCATATCCCCTCTGTCTCGTCTTTCCTCCAAGCTATACATGTTAAGATCCTTTAACCTTTCCTGGTAAGTTTTATCCCGCAATCCATGAACCAGTTTAGTAGCCCTTCTCTGAACTCTCTCTAAAGTATCAATATCCTTCTGAAGATACGGTCTCCAATACTACGTACAATACTCCAAGTGAGGTCTCACCAGTTGTGGCGGAACCGACCTCGCCACGTTTTCTTGGAGGGGGCTGCTTGCCCGCCTCCTACCTTCTGACTATGGCCCTGGGATATATGGCATTTGAAAACACTATTTGTGCCCTGTGACAAAACTGGAGATTGTGCAATATGACTATTGTCCATATTTTGTATGATTCCCTTCGTTTGTTGCCCTGTTCCCCATGTGTTCCATCTGTTGGTTCAGCTGGATAGACTACCAGACAAACTGTGGAGTTACTGGGTGGCCACCATTTCATGTATCAGAGGCACATGGTGAGAACAATGGATGAAGCACATGGTGAGAACAATGGATGGCGGCCATTTTAACTCACAGACAATGTTTTGACTTTTCTACACAGTGCCATCGAGCCGGTTTTTGGTGCACCAAGACATCGTTCAGTAGTTTTAAATTACAGAACAGGGGACACATTTAACAGTAATTATTTTTCATATAGCCTGTATATGTTCTGCGGAATCTGCAATAAACCGTATCTTCCAAACTACTGAACGGATCTGGGTGAATTTTGGATTGTGGTTCACCCAGATCCCCCGGTTCTGAGGATTTTTTTTTATGGGGTTATTGCATGTTTTGGGGTCCCTGT